TGAACGAGGGTGGTCATAACATATTCATCTTCTTCTTACACAAGCAGCTTGGATGGTTAAATTTTTCCAGTTGGATAAGTTTTTCTTGTTACCTACCTAACACTTCACTTTGTCCCTTAACCCTAGGCGTCGTTGGGGCACCACTGACGACTTTGCAACCAGCTATCTCTATCTTTACTGGTATTCCACCACCCTTTGGGAGTTGACGAACTCCAGGCCTGTCCACTCTATGATGTTGTCTTTCCACTCCTTCTTCTTTTCACTCTCACAGTGCCTTGCAAGATGGTCTTTGCCAAATCATTGTGAGACATGCCCTTACCACTTCAGTTTGTGTTTTTTTAGAGTGGTCAAGAGATCTTTGTATGGTCCGATAGCTTGGTTGATCTTATTGCAGACCTCTTTGTTGGTAACATGGTCTTTATATGAGATGTGCAAGATCTTTCTGTAGCAACTCATTTCCATGGCCTGTATTATTCTTTTTAGGTCTACTGTAAGGGTCCATGTTTCACAAGCATACAGAAATATGGGTGGCAAGGGAGCACAACAGCCTAATTTTGGAACTAAGAGTGATATTGTTGTTGTTCCATAATAGCTTCAACCTTGCCAGCACTGTTGTTGTCTGTGCAATCCTAGAAAGTATCTCAGGTTTGGAACCCTCATCTGTGACAATTGATACCAGGTAGTTGAAACTTTTTACTGTTTCAAGTCTTTGTATGTGTACATTGATCTCAATGCTGATGCTGTTGTTGGTCATTAGTTAATCTTATTGGCACTGATCTTCATGACTTAAGATGTAGATGTTTTGTCGAGGCATACCACCAAACTGACTAGTTCTTTCTCTTCTTCTGCTAAGCCATCAATGTCGTATGCAAAGCAATGGTTGGTGATTGGCCTGCCTCCAATATTGACAATACCTGCATGATCTTCCAAGGCATCGGTCATAATCATTTCTAGAAAGATGTTAAAGAGGGTGGGTGAGAGTAGGCATCCTTGTCAACTCCAACCATTGTTAGAAACCAGTCTCCTAATCTGCCATTTATGAGGACTGCACTCATGGCCTTATCATCAAAGTTTTAAATGATTTAAACAAGATTGGCACTGATGTTGTACTTCCTTATGGTTGCCCATAAGGCTGCATGCCATACTCTGTCAAAAGCCTTCTTGGAGTACAGGAAGATATGATAAAGGTGTTGGAGATGTTTCTCTTAAAGGATCCTGAGATTGAAGATCTGTTCTGTTGTGCTTCATCCTGCTCCAAACCCCACCTGTTCTTCAGCAATGATCTTTTCCACTCGGGGTTGAGTCTGTTTAATATGATCTTTAACATGACTTTACTCAGATGACTCATGAGACTGATTATTTGCTAGTTTTGGCACAGCTGTAGGTTGCCTTTCTTGGGAAGCATGATGACCATAGACTGGGTCCAAAGGGTGGGCCATTATCCTGTCTACCAGATCTTATTGCAGATTGTTGTGAAGGTGATGATAAAGTCTTCTTCCCTGGCTTGAACCAGTTCTGCTGGTATGTTGTCAACTCCAGCTGAGTTCCCTTTCTTCAGTGATTTCACTGCATTTTCTACTTCTCGAAGTATAAAATAGTTGTCCTCTTCAGTTGTTTGAGGGCAGTGTAGTACCGTTGAGTCTCCATTGCTCTTGTGATTGTATAACTCTGAGCAATACTCTATCCACCAATGGAAGATCTCTTGTTTTTCTATAAGGCATTTTCCTGATTTGTCTTGGATGGTGGTGGCTCCCCCATGTTTTACAGTTGTTTGGTCTTTTACAAGTTTGTATGCTTTTTTACTGTTGTTCTTGTTTAAGTTTTCTTCAATTTCTTTGCACTGTTCTTCTATCCAGCTCTCCTTTGCATTCTTCATTCTGTTATATTTTGTTATTGACTTCTCTGTATTTTTGCACTCCTTCAGGATTTCCTTTTCTCTTTTTCAGTTCTCTTCTTTTGTCACATAGGTCCAGAATATCTGGTGTGATGTAGGGTTTTTCTTAGTCTGACAGTGCTTGCCAAGGATCTTGTTGGCTGTGTCAGTCACTGTTGTGTTGAAGGTGGCTATTATTAAATCTAGGTCTGTGTTCTCGTCACCCAAGAGGATAAAAAGTACGAATTTCCCACCAATCATTGCTTGGAAGGCTTTTGCCACATCAGGGTCCTTCAGTTTCTCAAGGTCAAACTTGATTCTTGTATGCTTTGGTTTGTTGAATTTCTTTAGGCGGAGATAAAAAATCATCGTCAACAAGTCATGATCACTTACGATGTCTGCTCCTGGAAAACTTTATGTTCTGGCAATGTTGACTCCTGTTCAAAATTGCTTTTTCACCATGATGTAGTCGATCTGGTTGTAATGTTGTCCATTTGGACTGTGCCAGGTCCATCTTCTGGATGAGTTGTGAGGACCAAAAGTATTAACTAACACAAGGTTGTTATGTGTGGCAAGCTCCAGGAGTCCTCTTTCATTTGATTCAGTATTGCAGAACCGTCTGCTGATGCCTTACCAGTTTGTCTGTTCATCCTCACCAACTTTTGTATTCCAGTCTTCTTGTATGATGAGGATGTCCTTTTTTGGGTGGTTGATCTATTAGGTCCTGCAGTTGGTTGTAAAAGTCTTCCATCTCATTGTCGTCATAGTCAGACATTGGGGTATACACTGTGATGTTGAATGAAGTTGCCCTCAGGCAGATGGTGATGAGCCTGCTGGAGACTGGGCAGCAACCCATAACAGTATTCACGATGTTTTTGCATACAAGGAATCCAATGCCATGTTCATATTTGTTCTTCCTCTTGACTGGATATGACTAATCATATTCCATTCTGACTCAATGGTGGTGGCTTATATCACTCACCAAGCAGGCACTAATTCTTCTTCCCTTTGTGGTAGCCAGTAAATCTCCCTTTTTGAACCCACACACACTTGACATGTCTCCTGGCATGTCATGTTCCTGATGTTTTTCCCTCATTGCAGATCGCCTTTTCAGTCCAAATACATTTTCTCCCAAGGAGTGGCCTCTTGATCCTCAAATGTTTGGTGGTTCTGCCTCCTTTGGGGTACTTCTCCACAGGAAGCATTTGACTCTTTTCTCAATTCCAAGTTACCTCTTTTGTTTCGGGTCTCCAGTTCATCTTACACTTGCTCAATATGTTCAGACAGGATTAGATCCAGTTTGTAACTTTAGTTTTTTCTCATTTTGTCATTCTTCTTCCCAAGGTGAATTTGATCATCCATGTCACTCCTGGTCGGGTCTTTAGAATTGATCCTTCTTGGCAACCATAGATCTGGTTTTCTTGGCGGTTTTGGCTCTATGTTCTTTTTTTCTGAATCAGTTTTACCGACTTGCACTTTGGGGGCTCATGTGGAATACTCTTTTCCTCATTTTCGTTTCGTGCCATCTTCCACCTTTATTCTCAGTCAGATCTGAATAGCCTTCTCTGTCCCATACATGCTCTGGGATGCTTTATTGCTTTCAAGGCAGCTTTCCATTTTGTGCAGTTTCTTTCCCTTACACCACTCCTCTATTCATGATTTTTTACCCTTCCGCACTTACCATTGGGTTCAGCTTGTGATTCAATTGGCCTTTTATTCCTTGTCTCCTTCTTCCCATAATCAATTCCTGGTGTCTTCACTCCATTCAGGCACCTTACCTTTTACCTGCATCTCAACTCCATTGTCATGTAGTGTGCTGACATAAATAAATGCAGTTCACCCCTTCGATTGGGATCCCTCATCCTATGCCTACATAGATGTTGGTTCCCAACTGTTGAGTTTTGGATTTAGAGCTGAATCAATCAACTTAAGTCCTCACACGTATGTTCAGGGTGACCCTGGTCCCTCATTCAGTTTGCCTTGAGTGCACTATCCCAGTGTTGTGGATCACAGTGGGTGCACTTGTTGGTTGCTCCACTTCTTCCTCTTGCACTACCCCTCAATGTCTTTATTCTGAGGACATTATTTCTTTTCAGGGGGTTCCAGTCTGTTTGATTTGAGTGGGATATATATTTCACTCTGCTCACATGTGCCCTGTTTGTAGATCGGTGGTGGGATTTCTCTCTCCAGTTGGCTGAACTTGAGATGAAGATAGTATGATCCTCTTTCCTACCCCAACACGAATGTCAGTTCCCAGTAGTCAAGTTTTGGATGCAGTTGACTTGCCATGTATGGTCTATCATGCTCTAGCCACTCTACGCCTTGGGGCACATCCCTTATTTTACCCACATTCTGTTCATTAGGGAGATTGAAATTATAACATATTGTGGTTAGGATCAGTGTCCAATCGTTTTCTCTCCCAATGGGATGTGCTCCTCACAATTTTCTGCTCTGGATCTGTCACACCTTTTCCACATCTGGGCAAAGAGTATACTTGGTATAGAGTTGGTGTTGTATCCCACGTATAATCCTCTCATTAGAGGGTTCCCTCATTATGGTGTCCTTCAGACACTTTTGAAGGATGCTTCTACTTTCTCCCACACACTAGTCTCTTCACCTATTCAATGTGGGATTCTAGCTATGTAGGTGAGCGGAAATAAGGTACCTCTTCAGAAGTTATAATTTTCCTACTCTGAAAATGTATTTCCGACAGGTAATTACTTATGGTCACACTACCTCCCTACTGTCAACCAATGCTTATGTTTCTGCCTAAACTCGAATTGATAGTTAGTTAGAATAGCATAGAGGAAGTCATGTGAATCACGTGGGTGTGGGGCACTACTTTTGGTGGAGGTTTGTCACATGATAATTTGCATGCAAGAATCAGTTCAACCATGTGAATTGAAGGGTGCATGAGAGTGAAAGGCTATTTGCAAATAGAGAGCAGCACTGAATGAGAATAGTTATGTATGTGAGTGGAAGTAAGTACCTGTGGGAAATACATTTTCAGTGTAGGAAAATTATAACTTTTCTTGAATTTAAAAGTGGACTACCCCCACAGCATAAACTGAGGGGAAAATGTACATCATTAAGAAGTTTTATATGAGATTTTATTATTATTTTGTAGCTTCTTGATTGAATTTGTATCCAGTGATGAGCCAATGTGGAGAGGTTTACTCTATGGCCTTTTGCTTTTTTTCAATACTGTTCTGGGAAACTTAATGTTCATGCATTTTGTTTATTTTGTCTACATTGCTGCATTGCAAGTAAAATCTGCTTTGATAGCTGGGATCTATCGAAAGGTAGGTATTTTTATTCTGCATGGATCATTTATAGTTGGTGTTTATTAGAAAGTAGATACCACTACATTTAAATTCTTTTTGGGTTAAATACTGTTTTAAACATACATCTAGAATTAAATCTAGTGTGAAGTGAAAAATTTCTTATTTTCTATTTGCTTAAAAAAAATAATAAGATGATTAGTATGATATATTTATTATTTGGTTTTTAGTAATTATTTAAATTCTGTTACAAAGTAAGAATTTACAGTTAGGATATGGATAAAAATGTATTTTATATCTTTTATTATGTTGCCTTCAAGTATTTTTATGAATGCTTTAATGATCATAACATTTATAATTCATTAACTGTTTTCGTCAAGATACACTACATCACTGATTCTGGCTTATATATACTAATAATAAATATTGTTCTCCTCAGGCATTGCATATGTCTAGTGATACTCGTCGTCAGTACACAGTTGGAGAGCTTGTTAATTTTATGGCTGTTGATGCTGAAAAAGTTTTCAATGTTGCTCTTTTCGTAACTTTAATATGGGGTGCTCCTATAAGAATCACTCTTGCTATGATTCTTCTGTGGCAGTACATTGGACCAGCCTGCCTTGCTGGAGTGGCCACGCTTCTTATAATTCTTCCATTGTCAATAATATTGTCACAGAAAGCACAAGTTATTCAGGTTTGTTAGATTAATATCTTCAATTTTTTCTTGTCATATAATTTTCCATGATAGATGTTTATAAATTTCAATCCTTCATTATATAAATTAGACTAAACCCGTTTAGATATGAATGAACTCCAAGATTCTCTCTCTTTACTGTTTTGTTACAGATTATAATACACATATTTACTATGAAGAGACTAAAAGGACTTGAACTACCGTAATATAATCTAAATCTATAGTTTTGTTTTACTATACTGGGCCTATTCATGTCTAAGTTGTGCTGAACAAATAGTGAAATATCACAAAGTTTTCATCACACCTTTATAGGTCTAATTATCTATGTATTATTCAAATGCTATGTTTATTGCTTACAATTTTGTTATTAGAACTTATCCAATAATGTTTGTTTTGTTGTTAAGTGCAGAGCTATATAATGGGCTCTCTGTACTATGCTCACCACAGATATCAGAATCCAATTTTTTGTGTAATAAACTCTTAAGAGTTATCACTTAGCCACCAGGAGGCATCCAGTAATGTAATTACACAGATGATGTGTCTACCATATAAAGAATTTCCATATACTGTTACTTGAAACTATTCAAGCCCATGTACTTTTTGCATCTGAAAGTACCACAACACATTTCCTCAGCAGTTTTTAGAAGCAGCTGAAGCACAGAACTAGGGTTCCCATCTTCAATTGCCTTACTTCATATCTTGATGTCTGATCCTTAAAGTTTGGTACTGGAATACATCCAAATGCTATTTAGGCTGTAAATAATAAAAACTAACCTGCTTTGATTTAAATCTGTCTATTATTTCCCTTTTCCCAAAAATATGCCTGTAAGGGGTTTCTAATTATATATTCCTCTGTTGGCACTACTGGTGCATAGTGATGTTTACTGGACATTAATAAGATGTATATATAGATAAAAAGTTAGCAAAAAATAACTGTACAGAGCCCTAAAGTTTAAAAAGTCTGTTATCAAAGACTATAGCAAGATATCAGATGAAAACATTGATTACTTATAGATGAATATATTCATATCATTACAGGTTCCAACATCCCTAAGTAGCTTATTCAGACCAATAAATTGTCATATATCTACCAAGAATCCACCAAGGGATATGAACTTGAACTTCACAGTATAGCTTCATCATTCATTTCCTTTTTCCTCCAAATATTTCACACCCCTTTATGGATTTATACCTATACCCCTGAAGTCATGTGACTTAAATTATTAACTTCATTTAAGTTCAGACTGTTCATGCAATAGAAAAAAGTTTTGAAGTCTGTTGAGGAATGACTTATTATGGCAAGCATGCAACACAAAAGAGCCAATTATTGTTTTATAGGAATGCACAATTTTGAACTCTCTATAAATTAACATGTATACTATATATTACCAAAGTTATTGGGACATTACACTCCTAGCTACATTTTACTTAGTTTGTATTTGAATACCATGGTGAATTGCTATGTAGTTGCCACACCCAGCCAGTCGGAATCAAGATGCAATGAGAAAAAAAGGTTCATGAATCTTCAAATAAGAGTGGTAGTAGGTTGAATCAGTGGTGATATAGTTGTTCAAACAGCCTACAAATGTCAAAATCCGCTGTGCTAAAAAATTAAATATCATTAGATGTGTTAGTCTTGAATATTGGATTGACAACCCAAAATTAATCTCTCTTGGCCTATATTAACTTTGAAACCTACGTTGAAATGAAATCACAAATCTTCCTTTAAAATATATCATACAACTTTAACGAGTTCAGGACTGCAAGCCAATGAGTGTCATTCCAGAATCAAGCTATGGGCCTGTTTTGACTAGCTTGGATTTAGGCCAGTAGTTACATGTAAAAGAGCTTGCATGAATACCTTGAAGTATTGTAACATTCTTGAAAATGTAGAACTGCCTATATTTATGGAAATCGATTGGCAATGACCAGACATTCTTCAGTATGATAATATATCCTGCTATACCACACACTATGTCCAGTTATAATTTAGACAAATAACATTCAGAATTTTGTTGTTGTTTTTTGGGTAAACCCAAACCTCTAACCTAAATCCAGTGAAAGTGCCTTGGGACATTTTGAAATTCTGCCTGAGAAATAGACCTCAAAATTTCTTTACACTGATGGTAATTGATAATTGTAACTAGTAACAATTGGTGGTAGTTGAGTTCCAAGAAGAGTAGTAACTAATCTATTCTTCTACCTGTGTACCACTGTCGGTGGCAAGTATTGAAAACAAAATCTAAAGGTGGGCTCGTTCTGTTAAAATTTATTTCCCAGTGACAAAACTTGGTAACTCATCTCAAGATCTGATGTTCCAATAAGTTTGATAAGATAACATTCAACAGCTACCACTACTATTACTATTTAATTTCAACTATGATATTCAACAATGTTTCAGTTAGCTTTTGGGTTATATTCACTTGCACATCTCTGTATACACAATTGTCTATAAGATGATTGACTGATAACAACACCCATTGATTTTAAAGTTCAGTCTCATTAATTTTCAAGAAGACAGAACAAATGGTAAAATACCAAAGGACTGTTTATCACCACTATATTTTAGATTTCAAATATTAGTTTTTTCAAAGGGAACTAGCATACCTCAAATAGTTTTGTCATAGCACACTGTATCACTGAGATATGAATATTGTGCTTACTATGCTATTTTTTATAGTTAAAAAATTAAACAAGAAATTATAACGAAAGGTTTCAAGTTTATTTTCAGTTTGAGCTAGTTACCTACATGCAGCTATTATACAACATTCAGTAAATATAGTCCAGTTCACACAGAGATTTATATACTAACATGTTTTTTTCCATAAAATTCTTTCTGAACACAACATTTAAATAAATATTGATATGATAAGTAGTTCAGTGAAATTTGATTTTTAATATTGGAAACAAAGATTAAAAAACAAAAATTAGATTTTGAGATAGTGAATTCTACTTTTATTTTGTTTTGGTTTTGTTTACCTTACATTAGTTATTCTTTTTATTTTTTTAGTTCAACTATGAATTTTTAGTTATATTAAAGTGCTAACTCACCTTTTATTTAGGTTGATTTTGAGTATGTTTGTATGTATTACAAAACTGACACTAGCTTCCCCTAGCAGTGACTTAAAGATACTGATGTGAAATATTATGTAAGTTTATGGTAATAGCTAGTCACATGAATTGTAATCTTATGGTCTTACAATTAATGAAAAAGCCTTACTTGATATTGAAAATGAGTTAATTCATAAAATATAGAGTTATTGCTTGATATTGTTCATGATATTGAGAAGTGGTTTAGTTTTGAAACATTGTGTTATTCTATAGGTTTTTTATTCTTCTGGTTCTTTTTTCCTAATTCCTTTGATATTTATTGAAATTAATCACATTGAGATTTAAGTTGTATTGGTTATTAACATTTGTACCTAGTCCTGGCCAGACGTAGGTTTACTAATTGTTTTTTGATGTGATAAAATATGAGTCTTAGTTGTTTGAAAGTTTTTGTTTACATTTCTGTTGATATATTTAATCAATTGTGTTTGTTTGGCCCTGGTTGTAGTGGCATTGTGTTTAATCCATTAGAAGATGAGGCAGAGTGAAAGTTATTGTATCAGTATTATTATGGTTATAAAATTATTTTAGAAATACATGCCTGTTCCAGAAAGTCAACAGAGTTTATCTCTGTATTTCATAAAGTAAATTTTTTAGACTTTTTTTTCTATTTTTTCAGGACAAACAGATGGGTTTGAAAGATTCAAGATTGAAATTTATGAATGAAATACTCTCTGGAATTAAGGTATAACTGAATTTGGTTTATGTCAAATTTGTTCTTTTCTAAACAATAGTTATACTAATAATAGAGTATTCAGGTTAAAATTGGCCGATTGAAATAAGTAGCATATATATATATATGTATATATATATATATATACACACACACACACACACATATTTGTAAGAATTGCATGCACAACATTTGTTTATTTTCACATGTACTAGAAAAGAATCAATCACAGCAATATCTCCTTATCTCAGATTACATTTTTTTAAAGGTTTTTCAGATAAGTGGGCAAAAATACATTCAGTATAAAGAAGGTATGTACATGGCTTTTCTGATTTAACCTCTATTTGGAAGTTTCACATCTGGGGAAAAAAAGAATAAAATATAACGTAAAAACTTCTTTGTTTTTCAAATATTAGAAGCAGATGTGAGTGTTTAACCCTTTCACTGTGCAATTAATTTTCAGTCTGATTCTCAAAAGTGTCAATTATCCACCAAAAAATAAAACTGAATTTGACCCTTTGTATTACATTTTCAATTTTGAAAGAAGCTGTGTTTTCTATATCTGACAGTAATATTTTTTGAAAACCATATTGGATAGTGAAAAATTATGATTTAAACAAACAATTGAGGAAGATTAGAAGAAAAGTGTTCTCCAGTAAATGGCATAAATATAGTCAAAACTAAGTCAGTAAGAGTACAAAATCATTACAAAATATAAAACAAATTATTTAGATAACATTATCTAAGATATAAAGAAGCTGTCTTTATGTAGATTCTATATGTATTCCTGCAAAGTTGGCAATTTTGTAATGAAGCATATAAACATGGAGGTTTCATGGCATAGAACATAGGTGGCAGCATACACACAGGTTTGGTAATTGTTTTAAAGTACAGGGGGATATTCCCACATGTCACAGTAGAGGGGAAACTTTTTTTTGGTAACCATCCAAATTTAGCAGTGAGTGGGCAGTGGTGGGATTCAG